CCTCCACCACTCATCCTTTCCCCCTCCACCGCTTCCCATCTCTCCTCCTCCGCCTCTCTCGCCGCTCCAAACCCCCACTCTTCCCTTCTTCCTCCCTCTCTTTCCTTTCTCACTCTCATTCCCTCTCAATCCCTCTCGCCATTTCTATTCCCACTCCCACTCCTCCGTTTCCGCTGCCTACCCTTCTTCTGCCGAGTCCTCCCCTTTCCCGGCCCTGCACCCCTGGCCCGAGTGGTCCCATCTCTTCAACTCAGTCTCAGCCTCCGGTTATGATGGAACCAACGGCCAGGATGAGTTCACCGAGGCGGCCCGGGATTTGCCCGAGGACTTTACGCGGGCTGCAAGTGTTTTCTTGGCGTTTGCGAGGGCACGAGCTGGCCTTTTGAGGTATGCTTTGTGTCTTATGTTTCCTTTCTCATTGAGCAATATTTGGGATTTCTACTGATGGGCTCATATGGTTTTTTTCTTTTTCCTTTGCTGCAGGTTGCTTTCGAGGCAAGATTTGGAGGTTGTTGTGGAGAATGGGACTCCGTTTCTGTTCCGGAATGGCGATGATTCTGCAAGAAGAATGAGATTGTTTCTCAGCCAAGGCGATACCCATGTGAGTTTCTACTGTTGTTGTGATTTGTACCGTTAGGCGAAACCAATTGCTTTTACTTGGAAGTGCTCCTGACTTTTAAGTTCTGATATAATGCAATGGTTTGTTAAGATACTGATTTAATCAGATAGAGCAAACTCAGAGCGAAGGAACTTTAGTAGACTCACATAGTTAAAAAAACTGTAATGCTACGGAAATCAAAATTAAATTACCATTTTTTATGATTTTTGACGTTAGCAAAAATTCAGTACTGTGTGAATTGGATTCCTCAGCATATAATTTTCACTGAGTTGGGCAGTATGCAAAACTACCAGAGGTAGCTAATGTTCTCTGGGTAGGTTTATCTTTGTGTTTTGTTTGTTTGATGAGTATCTGTGCTAGGTATAATGTAGAGAGGAGAATTTAGAAAACAAAACAAAAGTGTCAAGGTGGTATACGAAATATTTAACAGACTCCCGCTGAATTTGGCATTTTTAAAGTTCTCTTCTATTACATTTTGGTTGTCTCTGACCAGTGTAGTTTTCTATTGTCTACCTCGTGTATCTTGGCTGGGATGCCTTAGAATTTTTCCGTTCAACTTTACTTTTCAATAAATTTAGGATTGTTTTTAGGAACAAAATCGGTATTGGTAGATCTCTTTGATTCGTAGAGCAATGCCAATGGTGCTTTTACATTTTATGATTTTTTTTTACTATTACTAAACTGGCCAAATGAATCTTGTCACAATCTTTCATCAAGGGAATCTCGATTAGGGACAGTCAATATTGGGAATGTAAATTTGGAGATTTCCTGTACAAAGAGTCAATACGTGGGGTGTAGAATTTAAAATGAGTGATTCTCCCTGATCAGATGGCAACCTTATGGTCACTCCTGCCCTGGGTGGATTTGAGGATGTAGACAAAGCTATTTCTATATCGGTCTGCCAGTATAATCTATTGGTCCGAGAACTATGAAGAGAATATAGTTTGACCTTTTGTTCTGTTTGTATTAACCACGAAATAAGACTATCAGTGGTGACATATTGGAGATGAATAACTTATCCAAGCTAGAACAGCCGTTTGAGAGCCCCAAATTATTTTTCTTAGTACTCATGGACTCCAACCACAAGCCAGCTCCAGCAAATGTACATAATGCAGTTGGATTTGGAAACTTCAGGAGAAAGGTTGAACCCATATCACATGCTTACTAGCACCAACAAAAATAAAGGATTTACAATAAAGGACTTTTCATAAAAAACAAGAATAAAGGACTTACAATAATCCACAAAAGTTGCAATCAAACCTGAATTTGAAATAAAACTATAAAGATATGATTAATTCGTTTTTAATTTTGCTTTTCCTTGAGCATCTCATTTATGTTTGTTTTAGTATGTGATATGTGTCAGTGTTTAATGTTTTGATTTGGACTGCACTTAAAATTTTAAAACTCATTGGACCTTATCTAAAATCTCTATTTCTAATCTACGAATAAGTTAAACCTAAAATCCATGTTTTTGGGAGGTTGCTTTTCCAAAGGGTCGAATAATGTAAGTGGAGTGAAGGAAGCTTAATGAATCTGGAAATTATGATCAGTTTCAAAAAATTCAGTTGAAAATTATTGAGGACTTAAAAAAAAAAATTCAAACGGTATCTTGTCCCTCTCGCACTTTTCCCATTAAATCCCAAAATCAATTTAAATTTTATTTTTGATTTGCTATAAATATACTAAGAATTCTGTGGCCTGTGGTTTATCTCAATTTTTATCAATACGACGTTCTGCATGATTTAGGTATTTCTAATTCCTGGGTTTTATATTAAATATATTTTCATAAGTACATTTGAGTTACGTGTTACTAACCCAGTCTATTTTCATGCTCTAATTGCGTTCCAAATTATAGGCCTTGGACATTGATAAAGCACAAACGGTTGATTTGATGAGATTTCTATTGAGTTATGCTAGCAATCCCCTTTTTTCTTCAGAGAAAAACAATATCTACAATAGCGAAATTTTGGAATCATCTGTCCGTACTCTGCTGGGTGAAATGTCCAAGCTCTGTTATAGTGCTCCAGAGTCGAACTCTATTGGGCCAGTGCAGGGTCATTCCCTTGATAACTATGGAGAACCTATTAGGCCTTTTGGAAAGACTATTGAAATGAAACGGGGTGACTGGATTTGCCAGAGGTAGAGCCCTTCTTTTGGATATCATCAATTATTATGTTGGATTATTTTCTATCTAAGTATTTTTGTATGAAATGATTAGGGCTTTGTTATTGTATATTCGACATTGTTCCTATTTTTTCTTCTCTTTTTTACTGTAATGTGTATTATTCATTCTTTTGATGGACTAATGTCTATAATGAGCAGGTGTAATTTCATGAACTTTGCAAGGAACATGAAATGCCTTGAGTGCGAGGAAGCACGGCCAAAGAGACAGCTGACTGGCGGGGAGTGGGAGTGTCCTCAGTGAGCATTGCTTGTTTATTACATTTCTCCTCTGGTGTTTGGATAATTTTATTTTCTTGATTAATTGATGATAAAAATAACTTCTTTCTCAGATGTGATTTTTTTAATTATGGGAGAAACACAGTATGTTTGAGGTGTGATTGCAAGCGCCCTGGAGAGGTCTCCCTTCGTTCCAGCAAAACTAGTTTAAGTATAGGATATGACAATGTGGGTGATAAAAATAAAGCTGATATCGATAGCAGGCTGGCTGCCAATGAAGAGAAGGCACAGCGGTGGTTTAGTAAGATTTCTCAGCTAGACAGTAGTTCAGACATGAACAGTGTTGTATCTGATGAAGATTTTCCTGAAATAATGCCATTGAGAAAAGGTGTAAATAGATTTGTTGTGAGCACCAGGAAGACACCATTAGAGAGGAGGCTGGCCAATGCTCAATACCGAAAAAACTTGGATAATGATAGTTATCATGAAGGCAAGGATTTCCAAACTGGGAGTGGAAATAAGTCACTTGGTACTACAGCCAACCAGACTTTAAATGAAATCCTTGGCCGTGCATCTATTTCTGAATCAAATAGTACAAGTACCAATCCTGGACAATTTGTGCCATTACCTGCAGATACATTTTCTAAGCCTGAGAACTCGAGTATGGAAGAGAGTGGGAATTTCCCGAGAAACAAAAATGAATCTGGTAAATCAGAGGACAGTATGCAGAGGTCTGAGAAGCCTCCGAAACAGGCTGGCAGTAGGGATGAAGAAAGTGACCAAGCTGATAAATCTGAGAGATGGTTTAAGCGGGTTGCAGAGTTGCATGATGTTACTGATCTGGCAAGTGCAATATCAGATGAGGACTTTCCTGAAATTATGCCGATGCGTAAAGGAGAGAATCGATTTGTTGTGAGTAAGAAGAAAGATCGTTCTTTAACTTCTCCATCATACAAGAGGCGTACATCTACTGAACAAGGTAGCAATGCCAATTACGTTCCCTTCGTCCCTTTCCCACCTGACTACTTTGCGAAAAACAACAACATGCAGACAGATGGGACAGATTTGACTAACAAGACTGTTCATGAAACAACTCCAACTATGATCCAAGATAACCCTCCAGACAAGTTGGTTGATCCTGGACCTGGGAAGCTGAATTCTAGTCATGTTCAGCAGATGGAAAATGAGAAAAGCAGCATGGCAAGCTGGAATCCAGGATCTTCAGGAGAAAATCTCGTAGACAATAAGACTGGTTTAATGACTGATTCTGTTTATGGGCCCCCAATCGGTCGAAATTCTGCCCTGCATTTTGCTAGTTCTAGCACTAACAACATGGACAGATTGAACAGTGGATCTTCTGGGAAAGCGAATTCTAACCAGACAGCAAGTTTGACAGGGAATTCGCCCCAAGAGTCCAATGAACAGAACGTTAGACAGAGCTGGACTGGGAAAAGCTTGGAGGGATCAGCAGTGAAGGAACCAGATCCTTTAGATATGTCAGAGGAGGCAAAAGCAGAGAGATGGTTCAAGCGTGTTGCCCAGATTAAAGACATCTCAGAGCTGAGTCAGATTCCCGATGAAGATTTCCCGTCAATAATGCCAATGCGTAAAGGGGTGAATAGGTTTGTTGTTAGCAAGAGGAAAACGCCTTTAGAGAGGAGGCTGACATCTCCACAGTACAGAAAAAATCTTCCAATTGTGAGCTCTGATCCAGCGAAGAAAAATGATAGTGACTGAGGAATCACAAGAAATATTCGACTTTGTTGTTTTGGAAGACGAGATAATTAATTTTCTGTTTTCACGATAAGATGTTATTTTTCCCTCATTGTATTCGTCATAACTTGCTCTTGAGAAACATTGGCTGTATTCCCAATAGTGTACAGGAGATATACGTTTCAGTTATTGGCAAATACTTCACGTTGTTACTAGCCCATGGGACCAACAGTGTGTACCGGAAGCCCAATAGACCACATTGTAGACTATTTCTCTCTCTCCGGAATGCAAAGATCATATATAGGGTTAATCGTTTTATTAGCCCTCCAACTTGGACCGGATTTGCATTTGAGTACCTCAATTTCCAAAATGATACTTGTGGTCTTTTAACTTAAATTTCGTTTGGACAACTAGTCCCACCGTTACTTCTGTCAATTTTTTCGTTAAATTTAAGGGTAGATAGGTCTTTTCAGGTTGGTTTTAAGGGACAAAAAAGACTTTTACTCTTTTAGATTTGGGTTAATCGTTTTATTAGTCCCCCAACTTAGACCGGATTTGCATTTGAGTACCTCAATTTCCAAAATGGTACTTGTGGTCCTTTAACTTTAGTTTCGTTTAGACAACTAGTCCCACTGTTACTTCTGTCAATTTTTTCGTTAAATTTAAGGGTAGATGGGTCTTTTCAGGTTGGTACGCAAGGGGACTCATGAACCACACCAAGAAACACAGCCACGGATATAACCCGATCATCCGCCGTAGTCGTGGATCTAAGAAAGGTGTTGAACGAAGTCTTGGGGTGGTTCTGGTGGAGCCAGAGTACGGCCGTGTCGAAATTTGTGTCACAAAAACGGATAGAGTTGACGCTGAAGATGAGCTCGAAGGTGGTAAGGGGATTGTGGGACCAAGCCAAGGGAAGAAGTTGCTTCAGATATTTAAGGCATGGTGGATTAGTATACCTCCAAGGTCTATTTCAGAGGGAAGGCAAGTTGTAGAATGAGGATAATAAAACCAACTGAAAAGACCCATCTACCTTAAATTTAACGAAAAAATTGACAAAAGTAACAATGGGACTATGGTCCAAACGAAACTAAAGTTAAAGGATCATAAGTACCATTTTGGAAATTGAGGTACTCAAATGCAAATTCGGTCCAAGTTGGGGGACTAATAAAACGATTAACCCAAGGAGGATAATAAAACCAACTGAAAAGACCCATCTACCTTAAATTTAACGAAAAAATTGACAAAAGTAACAATGGGACTATGGTCCAAACGAAACTAAAGTTAAAGGATCATAAGTACCATTTTGGAAATTGAGGTACTCAAATGCAAATTCGGTCCAAGTTAGGGGACTAATAAAACGATTAACCCATTATATATATAGATAGGCAAAAAGTCATTTTTGGTCCATGTAGTTTACCACTGAGGTCCTTGTGATTTTAATTGGGTTACTTTTGCCTTTGTGGTTTTCGATTTGAAGCAATTCGAGGACAATTTCAATTTCCTATCAAATAGGGATGTTCTTGAGCATAAATGCATCGGGAAATGGGTAACGGCTAATCTCCTTGCAACCATCCTTGTTATCTGATTTCAATTTTCCTAAGCTCTCATAAATTTGACTCACCTTTATATTATGGGTTATTTACTCAAATGGTCTTCAAACTTATACCCAAGTTGTATTTTGGTCCCTCAACTAAATTATTCGCTCAAATGGTCCATCAACTCTCTATTATTCGGCAAATTGGTCCACCATTACATTCTACTAAAATTATCGTTACATATGAGGGCAAATTGACCATTTCGTACTCTCTCTCTCTCTCTCTCTCTCTCTCTCTGAGGCAAAGTTGAATGAATATTTGGGCCAAGTCATATTTCTTTCACCAAAACCATACGCCGTTGAAGTTAGGAGGGCCAAATGTCTTTGGGTCTACTGACATCCCTTTCCCCAAAAGCATTGGTTGGGGTGAGATCTTGTTTGGGTGTTTCCGTAGCTTAGAAACAAGAAAAAGAAAATACAAAAATAATCAGATGTTTGGATTAAGCCATAAGTGGTAGGAGGAGGAGGGGTCCATTGGCAAATGGGAAAGAGAGAAAAAGAGGGGTTTGTGAGGGAATAGGGAAGAAGAAATGGGGGAAAGGTGGGTGCTGGGTTTGGGTCTGAGGATTTTTTTCTCTTTTTCTTCAATTTTTCTAATTTTGTATTAATTTTAACCTTATTTTTGGTTTTAAATTATGTAAAGTCATATTTACCCTAAATTTGGTTAAATCTAACAGAAAATTAGATGGTGGGACCAATTTGCCAAATAATAAAGAGTTGAGCGAATAATTTAGTTGAGGGACCAAAATGCAGGTCGTGTATAAGTTTGAGGACCATTTGAGTAAATAACCCTTATATTATTGTTTCTTCAGCATATAGCCTCAAACTCACCAACCAAACCATGTAAGACGTAAGGAGAGCCGTGGGAAAAATACACAAAACCTAGGGTTGAGCCTAGGCTTGCTTGGTATCGTCGCTCTTCAGTCGTCCTCGATCTACTCCTCTCTCAATTTTAGCTCTTGTGCATGCGTCATGCGTCAGGTCCTCTTTCTCTTGCTAGTTGAACTAGTTTTCGTTGGTTTTGTATGACGAGAACTTTTACGGCTAGGGTTTGTTGTATGTGTTTGCTTTGATCTCGTCCGCTTTTAATGGCGGTCACCAACTCTTCCTCTCTTTCTGCATCTCGTCTGGCTGGTTTTGGTTTGTGATTGTATTGTTTAGCTCGAAGCTTTAGGGTGTGATGGCTAGGGTTCCGACTTTCCCTCCCCTAGAGTCGCCGCCTCGAGTTTGGTTTCCATCAGTGACGTCTGCACGTGGGTCTCTTCTTTGCGATTGTGGGTGTTATCATGGTCTTATTATTCCAGCTGTCATGTCTACATCGAATCGCGATCAGGATGTGGCCGTTGACAATATTGAGCACTCATTTGGGAGTCGCTTGGTCCTTACATCAAGAGAATATGCTGGGGTGGTTATTGGTTTTTCGGTTGTCTCTGATAGTTTTATTGGGTATACCTTTTCGCATATATGGAAAGGTAATAAGGATGTCTTAATCAAGGAAATAGATTCTAACAGGTTTTGTGTGTTCTTCGTTAGTGCTCGAGATCATAAAAGGGTCCTTGACATGGAACCCTGGGTGTATTGGCGTTCCTTGATTTTGCTGGCGGAAATCCTAGATGATGGTAGTATGCATTCTATGCCTTTGGCGCACGGAACCATTTGGGTACAGTTACATAGTGTACGTGGCTTTCGTATGATAGTAGCCTTTGCTTAGGACATTGGTGTCATATTAGGGGATGTTCTTTGGGTAGATAACCTAGATGGTTCTGATTGTGTGGGTCACTTTATTCGCATCCATGTTCGATTTGATGTCACCCTTTCCCTCATTCGTCAGACCTAAGTTACTTTTACAGAGGTGGGGAAAATTGGTGGAGTTCAAATACGAGTACCTTTTTGAATATTGCTTTGTGTGGGGGAGAATTGGCCATTCTACTCAAGTGTGTATCAAGTAATATGAAACCACCCAAGGGCCTCTCAATTCGAGTTTACGTGCTCAGATTACCTATGTTTTTGCTGTCTTGGAAGGTGATACAAACTTATGGGGCAAAAACCTATTGGCACTATGGCATGCCGCTCCTCGGCACTTTCCTCTTCTTACACAAGTAATGGTAATTCTCCACGCCATGAGGGTTTTTGGAACAAGGATGGGTCGGGTGATTGGGATAGTCTTGGTAATCGATCTTGTGGATCTAGTTCCCCATATAAGAATGATGATTTTGTCCCCTCTCCCACTCGATAACACGCTGTCACCAAGTATTAAAGGCTATAGAGTCTCTACGTAAACAGACTGGACTATCTGAAGACGGAGTTCGTTCCCCACCACCACCTCCACTGATCCTGTATGCGTCAGAGTTAGGGATCCTCCCCATGGATATTCCCCAAAGAGAGGTCAATTTATAGGAAACCCTTGCAACTTTGGGTGCTCATTCTGTCTTATGAGTGGAAGTCATGACTCCTAAACCCTTGGATACTTCTAAGGATATTATGGGCCCAGCTCTATTTGACCTTTTTGATCTCATGCCCATTATCCAGCTTGTTAAGGGTCTACAGAAGAAGAAGGCTCGTCGTACACCCAAAAAAGGGGAGGAGGGTTCAAGGAGTGTGCCCATAAAAAATAATGTGAAGCGTAAGCCTCCTGAGGATGTGGCTACAGGTAGTGATGTAATGGTTCGTGGTATGGATTCAAATGGTAGTACAAGATTTTGTAGTGGCACCTATTTTGATAAGGCCAAGGAGACCGGTATTGTGGTGTCTCCTGGGGGCCCACCTTAGTGCACATATGGAGTATTCTTTGGCTTGGCATCCGACGAATGCTCTGTTACCTGAAGCCTTTCTTCTTCGGGTTAAGTGGACGAAGCTGGGTTTTGTTTTGTGTGGTGCCTCTCCCTTTCTTTTGCCTCTTTGCATGCTTCTCAATTTTTGTGCTACCCCACGGACTATGGTTCTTTCATAGGAGTTTTCCTTTGATAGTGTTAGGATGCAGTGATATGCTCTCTAAGGGGTTTTTCTTTGTTCGATCTCATGTTTTGTTTGTCATTTTGTTTCTCCTTCCTTTGTGTTTACCCTTTGTAGATTTTCTCCTCTCTGCATCATCCGAAGAACTATGGTTGGCCATAGTTGTTTTTCTTTGTTAGCATCTGGGTTGAGTTGGTGTGCTTCTATGGGGTTCCTCTTTACTGTATTTTCTTGGCGTGTTCTTTTGTGTCTCTGACCCTTGGTGTGCTATGTAGTCCTTGTGTTGTACAAAGGACTATGGGTTCTCATTGAAGGCTTCTTTTGACAGTTGGGATGCGTTGTGCTTCTTTCCAGTGGGTCTACTGTGTTGGTGCCAAGTAGGGCTTTTTTTCCTTTTCTGATTTTTGTAGCAGTCCAAAATGGCCTCAGTCGGACTCTCCTGTTAGACTATGGCATGTGTGATACTCTTTCCTACCCTGGACTTTGTCCCATGTAATTTTCCTAGGAAGGTTTTAATGAGGCCACTATATTCATACCGATATTTGTAAGCCTTTTATGGTTATGAATAAAATCTTTATATATATACACAGTCCCCTTCTATTGAGGGACGCCATTTAGGGTACCCTACAATTTTTTTTCCAATAATCCAAACAATCTATTTTTTAAGTCTTCATTCATACAAATTAGAAACCGTTTCGACATCCAATTGTGTCCTACAAAATCAATGAGCACGGTGCTTCAAGAAAGTACTAAAATTTCAATAACTCAATTGAATGGTCAAATGATATCGGATTCAAGTGATTTTTTGTAGAGATGATCTTTGAATGTGTATCTACAAAATAGACGGGTTGGATTAGTGAAATACAATCTGGAGTGGGCCCTACAAGGGGTGTCCCTCAAATAAGCTTATTTGAGGGATCCCTCAATAGAAGCTCTCTCTCTCTCTCTCTCTCTCTCTCTCTCTCTCTCTCTCTATATATATATATATATATATCTATATACAGTCCCCTTTCTATTGAGGGATCCCTCAAATAATTTTATTTGAGGGACGCCATTTAGGGTACCCTACAATTTTTTTTCCAATGATCC